ACATAATAGCTATGTCACTTGCAAGTCCAGATTAAAAGAACTGTTAGAACAATACCAGACAAATACTACTAGAAGTCAAACTTGAATGAAGCGGGTTTCACACATTAAACACGCAAGAACTGCTCCTGTAAATTTGATAGATATGTATTTAAAGTCCTACTTCAAACACTGTATGCTGCATTCTTCCGTCTAGGTACAGACAATCACTTTCTTCGGTGTAATGGAATCCAAGTCTGTTTTATTGAAGGACCATATTTTCAAATTGGGAAGAATTTACAAATGAAAGGAACTATTACCTTCTATAAAGCGGGTAAAGCAGGATCGCATAAACAGATGTGCGATAAAGAGGAACAGATGACCGAACATTAAGTATGACACTCATGCAATGCCATATCAGTTTAAGGAAATGGGAATTATCAATTTGGGTCACAGAGGTCCGTTAGTTCAGAACAATTTCTAGGACATGCATTGGTTTATCTATTTGAAAATTTCACAAAGGCAATACTTAAAACAAACCTTCTCGAACAATCAGAATTGTAAATTGTGAAACTTTATATACACTAAACATCTTGTTTTTGAGTCTGAGTTGTTATCTCGAATCAAATCTATTTGTTCTCATAAACAAATTATCATTATACTGATCTTGTGTATGCAGCCCACCTGCCTTAATTTTAGATTGCGAACAGTCAACACTCGTGCACACGTGTTAACTACATTCAAATGTTCAGGAATTGTATATCATTTCCCATTTAAAGATAGGGCCATGCTCCCCTTTCCCATTACCAAATTCGTGCAAAAAAGTTTCCAGGACTCACTGAATGCCTTGAAAACGTATAAAAACTCCTGCAAAATATTACAGGTGCATGTCATATTTTTTGGCTTCAAGCAAACATTTCATGCCAAAACCCATAATTATTGCTGAACGATATTGTTTTCACAAACGCGATCAGCTAGAGCACGAGACTGTTGCAGACTATGAGGTCAAGTTGAAAAAACTAGCCAGTACGTGCGAGTTTGGAGTTTTTTTAAACGGTGCTCTTAGCGGCCGTTTTGTATGTGGAGTGTTAAGTGAATATTGCAGACGAAGTTTATTAGCTGAGTTGGATTTGACATTCGACAAAGCTGTATCAATGGAACTGGCGCGAAGAGACTGCATGGAACTACAAACCGAACGCTCCGCCATTTTGGATCGTGCCAAAGTCTCAGTAAATAAGGTCGTATCATCCAGAGCTAACAATAATAAAGGTAACTGGAGCAGCTCAAGTAAATATGTGAAACCGGAATCAAGAAAACATGGCTTAATGGCAATCGGACATATTGCTAAATGTTGTAAATCTAACTTTAAGACACACCATGTTGATACTATGGTATCTGCCGAATCTGAATTTGATGAGGAGCTTTATATGTTTATACACAGTGACTGATAATGACAAAACCTTTAGTGAAACTGTGAATATAGAAGGTTGTCCATTAAGTATGGAATCTAATACGGGGCAACTGTGTCAGTAGTTTCAGAGAATGTTTATAAGCAGTATTTATTTCATTTGCTTTTGAAGTCTTCTTGTAAGAAATTGTGATTCTATTCTGGTCAAATGTTAAATGTGATGGGGGAGGTGAAGGTTAATATTGAGTAGAAGTACAATTCCCACTTATTGTAATTTTATGTAACCGTCCACCATTATTGGGTCGTAATTGGTTGAGGTATTTTGTAGCGGCCTAAATCCAGAGTCATTACCTTTTTGTATTTTATTATAAAGGTTTTCTGTATACCTTTATTGTCACTTCATTTAAGACAACTTTCACTTATTTTGTAATAGCATGATATCTGATTTAGTTGGGCATTTGACAATCTAGCGCCATCTATTGACGAGTTCTGACTATGTCATTATTGGAGTTTAGAAACCGGAAATAACAAACAGACGGAAAGTTCTGGAGTCGGCATGGTTGCCGTGACATGCCAGTGTTTTGAAGCCAGAAACTTAAATATATCACCGTTATTTACTTCATCGTAGTGATCGATGTGCTGGGTTGATCTATAAATTTCGTCAATCGTTCTATCTGAATTCATCACCTTGTGATTGATGTGTTTTACTGTGGCTCGAGTGAGATGTTATGGTACAACATATACTACTTGGTTGTAATACGATAAATAAAGGTCAAGGCATTTATATACTGAATATTCGTCTCCCGAGTTTTATGAAGAACGCATTGGCAAGGATGAAATCCAGCTGTCGACAGTGTTTATAAACATTTCTATGAGTCATTGATAATACAGGACTCAACATAGATTTCAAGAAACTTGTTTATAGCCACTACATTCATTGACGAAATTTGGTACAGCGACATCCTTCACGGTCATAGTTTAGTGTTATCACTGGTATTGTTAACATTACATCTGAATTTGATCAGTGTTTTCCAGACAGAAGCAATTATCTTAAGATGGATGGACAACTTGACAAACTAAATGCATCCACTGATGAAATGATGAAATGCATAGAAGCCCTGTTAAGCCAAAGGAGGGTAAGAAACCCAACTGACAAAGGACGAGAATATTTCCGAGAAGTTAAATACAAGAACCGCACTGCATTGTGCAAACAGCTTAATGAAAGGTCAGATCTTTTGATATCCCTAATAACAAATAGGGAGACTTATTTGAGATCACTGAGAGAAGTATTCAAACATTGGATGGTATTATACGATGACCTTTTGGACAGTCACGATCAATACAAAAAATATCTTTCATCTGATGAACAATGTTTAGACTATGTTCAGTGGTATGTT